TGGGGCCATCGGATTTAGTCACTGGGTACCAGTACTTAAATTCATCAGCAAACTTGAAGGGCGGTACACCTGAAACTTCAGACAGCTCGTTTACTTACAGAGGAAACAGAAGTGGACCAAGGACCGATTCCTGTGGAACCTCACTGATGACGGACTGTCGAAATGGTATGCTTGAACCCACTCGGGCGGACATCTCTCAACATTCCATAAAAGCCGATATACATCTAAATACATGCTCAGATATACCATATGATTGTAGCCTCAATGGTGGGCGAGAATGAGGACAGTATCGAACGCCTTAGGAAACTCAGTGGATAGAGCATCCACTGCCTGACCATGGTCCACAACATTCGCCTGCCACTAGCAGATTGGTCAAGAATGGCCTCTACAAAAGCCATGCCGCAATGGCCTGCGCAAACCGAATGCTCTCAGATGGCTTTCAAGTGCACCTCTTATCAGGTTTTCCAACAGTTTTGCCAGAACATTCGACAAACTCACAGGTCTGTTATTCACAAGTCGATGCTTATCGCCCATTCGAAAAACTACCTCCTTCCAGTCCTTAGGCAGGAAACAGCTCGGAAGCGATATATCAAACAGACAAGTGATGTGCCCGGACAGCTCTCTTGCCAGTTCATACATGTGCTTGTGATGATTCGCAATCCCACCAGCAGCTTTGCTAGGATTTCTCTTTCTCGAAAAAAGGAGCAACTGTGTCTGTGACACAGAAATATCTGTTGGACATGAGTCTTGTGGAACTCTAATCGCTAAATCAACATGCGGCCAATTGGCTTCGGATAAATGCATGAGCATACTCTTCAACGAATAGGGAATCTTTGTCATAATCCGTGAGGCAGCAGTACCATCGGCTCTGAGGAACGCCGGTATGGACGGATTCATGTTACTGCATCTTTTAACATAAGCGGAGAATTGTTTTGGATTCCCACAGGCTAAACTAGCCAGTTCTATATCATGACGGAACCGTGCGGCTCGTATGTAACACTTGTGAAGGTTTCGCACTTCTCGATAGCGCCTAAAAGTGTCATCCGAGCGTCTGACAAGTAGGTACGCCAGCACCTCCTCCGTCTGTTGACTGACTGACATGTGACCGAGTCGAGCCAAAATGGCTTTACTCTTATCTTTCTCATTGACAAAGGGATGCGAGTAAAATAAGTATGAAGGACTGTTGCAGGTTTTCTGTTGTCTTCTACAGTGGATGAGCTTAAGATATTTGTTCGTGGCGGCAGTCGACTCTTTCTGACAATGCTGCTATTCCTCACGACACAGTCTGTTCGCCATGTTGCCTTCCTAACTGCACTCAATTCCGTCAAATGACGTTATTCCCGATTCCTTCTTCTTGACCTCCCTTACGACCATTTACTCCCCTCCTTCATCACCCGTCAGTTCCTGGTATTGGTTCAACCAACACTTCGTCTCCAGTTACTATGCGTAAAAGTCGTTTTGATCCGCAGTCGCAAAATCTATTTTATCGCAACATTCTCTTACGTAGACAGACTTGTTAAAAATCAACTGCATTTACTACTGGTTGTTGTAGATATCTAGTTGTCAATAGCGGTGTCCTTTTAATAAAACTAGAGACACTGAGCTGGATTCGTTTCCATTTCAGTAGGCGTCATGCGGTTTTGTTCGAGCAACTAAATGTATGGATCACCGAAGCCTCTCTGGTTTTGGTAAACATTTTTTTTGCTTCCATGGCTGTCGGATCAGCCTTTCCGTTTGACTCGCTATATCTAGACTACTAAGTCGGGGAATAAAATCCGACAACTGGCTGAATTGACGAAAATTTTCACTATTAAATTGGGGGCCGTTGTAGAAAATCACCTCCGGGATTCCATCTCGAGCTAACTGGCACCGTAGCTTATTCACGAAAAACGGCGTGCTGGTCGTAGTGAAGGCATCAGCATCAAAATAGCCACTAAACTAATTCATTGCAATCCAGTAATTCTCATAAATGAAGATGTTTGGGATGACCTTTTACTAAGAACGCTCCGGGACTTCACAAGGCATCTATGAGTTTTTCGGCTGACGTATGTGTTGGGCATGATGTCCGGATGGAGACAGCCCTATTTAACTAATCATCCTTGGCCAAAATATTAGTTCTCGCGCTCTATAGAGATGTTGACAGCCAGATGTACACAATGCATAAGATCCAGCATGGAGCACCGCACTGCCCTTGGAAAGAATATCCAGCTGCCCTCAAATTCGTTCGAAAGTGAAGGGACGGAGCCAAATGCTTGGGTTGCTTCTTACATCCCGACCTACCGCTCACTTTGGTTTTCTTTAAAAGTGCATCGCTTTCATTCTGCACTCCTTACCAGTTGGAGTAAACTCTCCTCCATTATATCAGTCACATGCGTCATATAGGCAAAGTTTAAGTTTTCGTGCATTTTAATCGCTTCCGGGAGACGCCCTTTATATGGTTGTCCGCTGTTTGAGAATCGATCTCTGGATTGTGCTCCTGAAGACGAGTGTGCATGCATTGTAGGCCGCGGATACTAGCGCTTTGTGGTCAGCAAAATTGTTGGTCCTGTGGCCGAACGTCTAATTATTGAAGCGCTCTACGCGTAAATGGCGCAACCGTATTTTCTTGGATTTGAGAGTAACTGTCTTCGGTCTCCACTAATGTGCGGCTGCGCAAATCAATGGGATTTCCGTTTTGCATTAGCACGGCTCCGATTGGCTCCCGAGTGAAAACAAGGGATCCTAGTAAGCGAATATGAGGGCACTTGAGTTCAGATACTTGATCACTTAGAAGGTCTTTTCTTGCTGCATTTTCAGCGTTCAACTGTTTGTCACCACATCGAGTAGTTTGGGTAGGGAGGAATTCAGGTAGTTTTCCATCCCGTTCAACCTAGTAACGTAGTTCACATCAGATGGAGGCGGCATCACATTTACGGCTTTGATTTTCTCCTGACCCAACTTCAATTCTTCCGAATGCAGTACGTGTCAATGAAAAAGCACTTCCGTTTTATGTAATTTAATTTTCTCATGTTTCGGTTTAATATTCCTTTCAGAGCGACGCTGCAGTTATCTGCAAGGATTGCAGTTATGCACCTGAATTGAAAATTTGTCCAGTGCTATCTTCCATATAGGCGCCATTGCGACGAGACTAGACCTTAACATAGTGGGTTGGTTTGCGCGCCTCAGCGATTCACTAAGCTGTGCCGGGTGGTGCTTTTACACCTTCAGACTCACCCATACCAGATTGGTTAGTGGTTAGACGCTTGGCAAATTCAGCATTCTAACCCTCCAGATTGAATGTGGATTGAGAATGGCTCCTCACTCTATAATACGGGCTCTGTGTAGCCCAGTGCCATAACCTCACTATCTTGCGGTCAGGTTTTTGGATCAATACTTTGGTTGAGAACCGTGTTCGTTCTCCTGTCTAAACCTGGGTAATATGACAGTATCATGCCAACGCAATACAATGACCTTACATTCGAACAATTTCTTGATGCTCTGGCCGTCACAGTGGATAATAAACAGCGTCCTAGCTGCTGCATCGAACAGGGTGGATAGGGCTTTGGATGCTACTGTCCAAGCGTTTCCGTCTTCTTACTCCTCTTGCGATTTTTCATCTTTATCGTCCAGTTCCGACTTCACTTTCCCCCTGTTTTCAACTTTCCCGATTGTTGGTCCTCCACCGCCTTGCTTTGATAGACACTCTTCTTCTAGTATCAACTTGCTAACGCGGGACTTCACTCCTTCGCTGTTGACAAGTCCATCTCAATCCAAATAGACAATGTCATTTCATTTGGTTCTATTTGGTGTGCCCGATTCTCCCTAGGATTAGCATGCCTTCATGTGCGAACTTTGTTTCAGATTGGCCAACAGGCAGCACTTCCCCGTCCATTAAAGACCTTACCAATAGACATCTGCTGTTTATCAGCAACCCGAAATCAATGATTAAGAGAATTTTTGATTAACTTTTGCTGACTCGTCTCATCAGCTCACCCGCTAGAAGGTGTAACCACGGGTCCGGAAGGGCGCCAGACGGTCGTTCCGCCTTATTGTGTGTTGGTCAGTGGTGCACATCCCCTCGCCCCACCTGCGATTGAGCCCATGACCCATGGCAGCTTGCATCACTCGTCAGTAGCTTACACCATGAAGCAATGTGGGACGATATATATATATATATATATATATATATATATATATATATATATACAAAAAAGCTTTTTTGCTTCTGCTCCTTTTTTGTCTCTTGTTTTCTTTTCACACGCTGTTTTCTCTTTTTTGGTGTGTTCAATGCTTGCAATGTAGATCAAGAAAATCAAGACGAATATTCGTGTACATTTTCCACTGGGCCCGGTTCTGAACCATCTCCGAAAGACTTTCCAGCCAGCGGTGTTCTTCATCTTTGATGTCACAGCCTGGAAGACTCACGAGACCTATGACAGCTAAACCGGAAGTCAGTGCTTTAATCGTTTGTCGCTACTTGATACGCCGACTACCGCGCGATTTCTCCCAGCCTGGTCCTGGGCGAGCGAAGAGAGCGCGTAGGGGCAACCGTTCGCATGGTGTGCGGGACAATGGCAGATCGTCATAACTTGCAAACTAACTGGGTTATAGTACGGCGACCCACTGCCATGCAGGTTCATACTTAGTCTCGTTCTTATATTTTCTTTGGTGGCTTCCTCGTATTTTGGCGCTGTAATTTGTGTGCGGCTCATTTCTTAGTCAGGCCCTTCTAATTCGACATCCATATTGAGACCATGCTCGTACGACGCTTATAAAAATTTATCTGAGTTTAAACCTCAGATCTCGTGTCATACTAAGACACCGCTATCCAGATATACCGACTTCTGCTGCTCCGTTCTCGTTTTTACGCCTACTTGTACATAAATTTGGAACCTTTCAACTTTTTTTACAGCTTGTATCAACGCCCATGTATGCAACTTTGACTCGTTTCTTGTTCGATACACAATTCTGAATATTTCTCCATTATTTCTCTTAACTGACCATCTTTGTTTCTTCTCATTCAAGTCGAATTTTCTTTGTCACTACCCAGAACGCCGGTTAAAAGGTTCCAAAAGTTTGGTTTTCCGGAAGCTGGATTTTACCCCAATCACCTTCCGCTGTGTTTTTGTTTCCGTCTACTCCCGGTCACAGATTTGAAAATCAATTTGTAGACTATGAAGAACTAGCATTTGGTTACTGTTGTTAAGTGCCGCATGACCACTGCCTCTCTTTGGAAAGCCGAAGGATCTCCTTAGTGGTCCTACTAGTTGGACATGGGGAAGATCTTAGTCACTCGACAAGGTACGGTAGCTTACTTTACTGTTTACCTGCGCTGTTAGAAGTTACTACTTTTCTAACTACCCTGCCCCTTCCTCATTCTCCACTCTACACTTAACTCTGTTCACATGGATTCACGCGGCTTTTTCAACCTTTTGCTGTGAAGCTATGAAATGAATAACGATAAGACCGAATCTTTGCGTCAACGGGTGCAGTTGTTGCGAAAAGAACTTGAATTTAAACGAAAACTGTTGAAAGCAAGTCTCTATCACGTCATGTTTTTAGATTTCTAGAGCGCGGAAAAGAAAACCAAACTATCGAAACATTTGTCATGCAACTCCGTGGATAAAGTGAACAGTAAGGTACTTTATCCTGATCAATCATCTCTATGTTTTCACCATTTTAGCGAATGCTTCCGTGCAATCGAGTCTAGCTTCCGCGAATACCGTCCCGCCTTTTACGCTTCACGATATCGACGGTGTTAAATTTGAACATCCGTCATGCGTAATGATCACATCTACGTGTTTGCTGGACAGAGCCCTGACCATCGCCAATCTGTTATGCGTTTTGTCGAATTCTGATGAGCTTCTCTTTGCTGTCACTTCACCGAAGTCGACGGAAGTTCGGGTGATTTGGCGCAAGCATATCCGCGCGGACACAGTCGCTTTCTTGCGTATCATTGCTCACCCGATTCCCCATTCCATTACTCCGAATGTGGGCGTTGTTTTGGCGCAGCAATTTCAACAGACAGATTGTGTGCTGGTTTCTCTCTACCTTTTTCATTGCCCTACTGATGCTTATATGACTTCTACGCACCTTTGTGATGTGATAACTGTTCCCTTACCCCGCAATCCGAATGCCTCCCTAACCGATTTGCGGCCTTTTCCCTCCACTTTATTTGGATCTTTCCGCAGTCGTGTATCGCTTTTACTTTTTTCACCCGTCTGTCTGAGTTTTGCTCTTCTCGACATATTCGATTCACAAAAGGATGAGCATCTTTGCCTCCGTTTGGTCCGTTCTTGGTGCATTGAGAACTCAATTCAAAAATGGAATGCAATTTTGTCTTCGTACACCTCGGGTGATTGCCCTGACCATACTGTACTCAGTGTACACTCGTCTACTCAAAATTGCGACCTGATTGGCTATGTCTGGCATCCGGACCCAGCACTCCATCGTCAAGACTATTTTAAATTTAACATCCCAGCTGATATCACGGGAAACTGTACCCTGAGCCTACAACAGTTGGTTTCCGCAGCTCTCAACGGTTCCCCTCCCAGTGTCGTGATATCGTTGCTCTTGGAACTTACACGTTCATCGGATTGCGGCACGCGGGTGTTTCTTATCATCGCCACTTTAGTTAACGAGCACTGTTTCATATTGCGTTTCATTGATATCTTGGGTCTTCAAGCCCCCATTGCTGATACTCTTTGGCTTCTTCTCCCTACTCCTGATGATACTCTAGCACAGTTAGTTGTCTCCGCCAACGTACGAAGTGCTGGCTCTTACTCAGAACTCTATCTTTCTGCTTGGCCTGTCAATGCACTGCTAAGTAACAGTGAAGGGGGGTGTACCCAACCGGTGAGCGTTTTCTCATCTGTCATTCCAGCCGATTTTACTTTTTGCCTGTTTCCCTTCGATTCTCCACACCGCACCTTTTCCACAATTTCTCCAATTCTATTCGTTTTGTGGTACAACCGTGTGACTTCTACATTCCGTATGTTCTCTGGCCTATAGGGACGCGTCTGGAAGCTTCCCCATCTTGTCTAGTCTGTCCCGATTGACTCCGCGCTACGCTTCTCAGGAGATCTGCTGTTCATCGGTCTTCCGTTTTCACTTAGCGACTTAGGCTGTTTATTGAGTTTCTGTACCTAGTGGTTGCCTCGTTATATGGCGATGAAACGTGTTGGGAATCAAGCCAACTCTCAACGTCCGCAAGTTTTTATACAAACTCCCCGTGGTTATAACTTGTCCGCTTTTTGTAGTCTTACTTTGTTTCTCTTCTACCCAATGCATTGAGTGGATGTGTGCGATTGTTTCCCAACTTCCTTCGTAACAGTCGGCAGAGATGTTTTCCTGTTAAGTTTACCCGTTTGTTCTGGGGGTTGCGAAGAGACAATTCCTTGTTTTTACCATTGCTCCCCGTTCCACTGTGATAACTTCAAAATACTGTTGGTTTTTCCTATGCTGGTTTTCATGGTTTGTACCTATCAACTGAATATTGAAACAAGACATTTTTGTTATACCTCCCTGAAAAGATATCGGATAACGTAATTAGTATGGTTGAGCTGTCGTATTGTGCCTTCTGAGCGATTACCTACATACAACACATGATTGGTTCAAGATGGACTAGGTCATTTGATCTCGACTGATGCTATGCTTTGCAGTACTGTATAGGGTTCAGTATCAATGTCTGCGGTATTTTTTGAACGCAAAGCGGTGGCCGATCTCGGTCGATAACAACGTAATTTTCCTGGTTGTGAATGACGTCGGGATTGAACTAGTTACCGGCGTTCAGAGAATATTTCGTGACTACTGAGATAGCATCGCAGTTATAAATTAATAAATTCATTTCTCATCAGAATGAGACACGTTCTAATGCACGTGGACCGATCGTAGTATATCGAATTGTTTCACACTAATTGCAACAGATTGTTGTCACTGTTCGAACAGACATATTTTCGCGTCCAGCGACGCTTTTCTAAGCGAATTCCGCCAAAAAGTACAAGTCACTACGTCAAAGTTTCCGGTCGAATCGTAATTCGTCAGGCGATGTGTATGGACGGAATAACCTGCCTAGGAGAAGAAACGAATAATCATTAGTGGAACTGCAAAGAAGCCGTGGTATAGGCATTGTACGAAGAGAACGAAACGCTAATATTTGAGAGACGTGTCTGTAGTAATTCTTAATTCTCTTACCGGGTTACACAGCTCTCAAGTGACCAGTGTTTGCACTAGCGCATACCAAGTTGAGCCTTAGAGATGGAAGTTAGGGCCGTGATATCCAACCTACCAATGTGATAGTGTTTGCACCAGGCTGTGCAAGTTGTAATAGGCAAATAAGACAAAAGTAATGAAGTGAAAACCAAGGTATCCAAGAGAAGCACAAATGCGTTGAACCTTCCTCTTACTCAGTCCTGGCTGTGTTCGTCATTTTGGTATGCATATTATGTGCCATTCAACTCTGTCGAGTAGGCTTCCTTTGTACTCCGATTTGCTCAACTACTCCACCTGTAATGAGGAATTCGTTGACTCGATCAGGGGAACACGCAGAATCTTGAGGACAATGGAAGTCTGTTACAAATGTTTGCATATTTGTTATGGAAGAAGTTCGCGTACTTTAGTCCACGACTTTGACACTGGTAGAGTGAATTATTCGCTTCCTACATTAGCGAAAACGGCTGGGTACTTGAGATCGTCGATGTATGACATCGGGTCAAGCTTCAGCGTTCTGATCGATCGATCGATCTGGTTAATGTGTGTTGAACGCTCTCCAGCGCCATCGTATATCGCTTCCGTACGTTGCAGTAAATCATAGACCAGTTGGGCTTGTACATGTCTGGACCAATGTAAGCTCAGCATCTTTTGAGTCGAGCAGTCTTATGAACACCGCATTTCTATCTTAGCTTTCGCGATGGTGTAGTAGGCCTGTTCCACAGAATTTTCGGAGTAATATACTCCTAGTTCACATCTTCAGTTTTACAAGCAAGCAGTCTACCAAAAATGGCCAGTGAGATAGACCGAATATCGCAACGGTGTGAAGGAACTTTGCTCTTTCCAACTGATAATCCTATTTTTGACCTGGAGCACTACACTTCAAGATAATCTAGACTAGTTTGTACGCTTCAAACTGCGGCCTTCTGATATGCCACATAGAACGTATACCTGAACTTTAATATCAACATCGAACATGTGTGGGCGACCATAGGCAGTTAAATCAATGCCCCCATCATGGACGTGCATACAAACTATAAAAGGGCCCAGCACTCTGGATTGGACAGCGCCACTTGTTACCGGATGGCGACAGCAAATGTGGTCTTCAATCCTGACTGTCCTGGTTATGCCATTAAGATAGGACAAAGACCAGAAAAGGATCAGCTATACCAAATGATGCCAAGGTTACCGGGAATCTGTTGTTAGGTACCTGCTTGAACGCCTTTTCTATCTCGTGATATATTGTGACCTAATTTGCCGTCATCCCCGACCCGTAGCCTAAAAGTAACGAGGTTGTCTTGTAATCTGACGGCGCGGTTTCCAGCCTGCGTAGGGGCAGCGCAACCTTCACATTATCCTTAGCCCACGTGCGACCGGTGGTGGTTGCGCGGCAGCGTACTGTCGGTACTGCGTACCGGCGTACTGCTGATGCCTTCTTCATCGGCAGATTTTGTAATGTATTGGTGTGATTAACAAGTACGATGCGGAATAAAACCTTGCTTCATCGGGTTTACAAGCTTTTTTTGAGAGTAGAAATTCACGATCTTTTCTATAATTGTAAGGTGGATACGAGTATAGTTTGCTACATCATTCTTCGATTCGCTCGGCCCCGACATCAAAGATTTTATCTGTTTGCGCAGCCACTTTGTGGTCGGTTCGTATGTCCAAACTTCGATCAATCCGTCCAACGTAGCAGCCTCCACAGCTACTGATGATGACAGTGGGACTTACATTTCGACTCCCGTAACTGAGAAGAGTGTTATCCTGTTTGTAGTTTATGATGTTTATTATCCGCATGAATCTGACTTGAATTCGGATCCACAGATGACGTGGACATGGGGCGATAAGACTTCCTGTGTTCGCAGCTTGCTGCATGTACGCCAATTTTGCACGGATTTTCAAAACTTTAGTCGCTTGTATGGTCTACGGTTAAGGCAAGATTTCACAGTGTTGTCGTGTAGACTAGTGATGTGGCCGTTTCATACGGAGTGCATAAAGAAACTACTGATGTCTGTGCAGCGTATTTGGTGCGAGCGAGTGGCGCTAAGGTTTGTCAGCATGTCGTATTTCCTTGTATGCCTCCTTGTGAATCGCTGAAGTTCTTGTTTAACTCTAAGTTCCTACGGTACCTCGTTCACATTTTTACATGTCATCTGGTCACTTGTCTCAGCGTGTGTTGCTTACCAATAAAACGCCGGTTTGAGTGAAGCTTCGTGCTGTTCATCCCGTGACATGAGAAATGTGTGTGGGGCAACTCACCGAAAGTGTGAGTAGACTTAGTGTTTGTCGCATTCTCGGGCGGTGATTTCGTTCTTAGAATCCGAAATTCTTTCACTTTCCGCTTTTCTGAACAAGCCCATTGCCAGCTAATCCAACGCAGACAATCTGTAGCTTACATGTTTTCCAAATTCTTACAGTCCAGGCCAAACTCGAGTTGTTCATCTCGCTTACCCTTCCCGTCCTTGAATACTGTAATTTTCTCTATGGTAGCATGTGAACGATGAGCGGGAAATCCATGAAGATTGCCCACCAAACGTTTGTTCAGTGGCAAATGTGCCCTAGATCAGCGTGAATGTCGTAAACAAATTCACCTCGAATCCGTTTGACTTCGACATCTGGAGCAAAACCTGATACTCCTACACAGTTTGCCCCACCGGGAAACGTACTCCTACCTACCTAATTTAGAGATGATGTAGACTCCGCAAGGGCTAGAATAGCAATACAGTCCAACGTTTTTCTCATCTGAAATGCCGTTCTTTGAAACAGTCTGCCAACCACAATCATGGTATGTGAAAACCCCAAATAATTCCCCACGAAACTCGATAGTTTCTTTGATCTGGTAGGGTTGTCGTCCAGGTACTCATTCAACAAATCATCGGATGAAATCTTCCAGGATGGACCAATAGACATTTAGAGAGAGCTGAAAGTGGCATAATATACACTCATGCAGGAGCACGACGACTTCTGTAGCTACTCACCTGTTCCTATGTTAGAAACAGTTTATCGAACTATAGATAAGTGTAAATCTGTGGTCTATTTCTCGACCTTATGCGGCACAGACCGATTACGTGACCTGATCATTTTGTTCACCATAATCCAATATTGGAGAAAGCTGTTCGAATTTTTCAATGTTTCCAGTGGAGTCTTGGGAGTGTTCTATCATTCAAAATTAGCAAACTATGGTTAAGTTGGAAGTGAGAAAACTATGGGTATATCCGGCAGTTCATGCAAGGTAATACTCTATCGGATATGGTACAATCATGGATTCGTTAGTGCTATTGAGCTTGTTTCTGGTCATTCATCTCTTCATCTAGCGATTTTACTCCTTATCGCCATCACTTTTGAGTAGTCACTGCTATTATTATTATGGAAATGTTTGTCTTATATTTTATTTAACACTTGCCTACTAAATATTTTCCAGAGTGCCGCAACACATGAGTAACAATCAAAAGAAAGAGGCATGGAAGCAAAATTCCATGTACTGTGTGGGCATTGAGCTTCCCGGTTGCGCAGGTCGAGGAAGAGGGACCCCACCCCGTGGCTTTGGTCTGAAGACCTGACCCGCAAGGCAGCGGGGTGATTTCCGAAGACCGTTAATAGCCAAGTGGCTCATTCGCCTTCTTTGTGTTTGGAAGCAGTACACAGAGTAGCCGGTGGCCAGCGAGGTTGTTCATCCGCCCTCCTGTAGATACTCACCCCCCAGTTACAGAAGTGAGTGGTCAGTGACCCTATAGCCGGTCACATTGGCTTTGACACAGCGCCGTACGAGCACTTGTGGTATTTAATGGAGAACCAAGTGACCAGCCCAGAACTCCCCACGCTCTGAGACGTTGCCGCTGATTGTCCGCGACTGCTTATTCATCTCGCTTGCAAAGCAAACGAGACTTATTCGCAATTACCTCCACAAGGAAGGCATTCCCCGATCCGCAACCTGGGGACGCGCCCGATAGCGTACAGCTCCGCCACGGGATGTTTGTCTTAATAACTGACTCAACCGTAATTTCCATAGATCTCACTTGCTACACCGAACTGTACTCGTTCACCAGTCCTTTGCCATCATCATGTGTTATGGGCTTAACAAAATGGGCACAAACTAGGGAAATCGACCTCGAGAGTTTTGTGAGAAGACAATTAGAGTTCTTATTCTTCACTTATTGGGACTTGTTTGACCACTGTAGCTTTATTAATTATTCAGCCTACTAATGTGCCGTCTACGGTAGCCACCGATACCTCCTCAGAAATTTTGTTCGTTGCTGATAACCGCTGTGATCCTCTGTCTAACTGCCACCGTCCGTCGTACTTGATTCTTGCCTTCCAGACACCCATGCACCATCGTACTTTGTATATTGACTAGTATCACTGAATCAA